AGGGTTTCGAGACTACCAGTAAATCATTGTAATGAGATGTATTCACCCTATTTCGTGTAAGGTGATGATGTCGTGTTTTTTAATTCCTTTATCCTCACTGAACAGTAGGCTGATGATTGCTCTACCAAAAAGGGTAGTCTTGTATGGAGACCAAAATTATATGGTTTTTAATATAGTTTTGGTCTTCTTTTTATACATATGATTTGGCCTTGTTTTCTCAACTTGTCGTATTGGCCGACTTAGATTAACGCACCTTGTTCGGAGTCACAGTATGCATGGCAATTTCCTGCTTTGACCGTGGATTTGGTATATTCCAAGACGTTTCGTCGGCATCGTCAGTGAGCCTTGCTAGTCTCAACAACACACTTTATCTAGTCGAAGACTTCTTTCTATGACTAGTTTTAGTGTGTTGCTAAGACTAGCAAGGGTCGCTGACGATTCTGGCGAAACGACTGGGGGCATATCAAATTAACTGTCAAACGTTGAAAATTATCACAGATTATGTAGCGGAGGACTCCTTACAAGATGCGTTCGTTTAGGTATATGAAAATAAAACCAAGTTGCGTAAACGGGGTCACTAACAAAGTAATCAATTCTACGCCCACATCGTCTCTGATGATCTTTAATCGTCTTTGGTTAGTTGTTGAATGAATTCTTCAAAATAAATAAGTATAACCTAAATTTTTTAGTTTATTTTAATCGTATATATGGATACGATTTCATAAATTTCTCTTCTATTTTCGCATTTTAAATAATCTCACCTAATTAAAAATTGTCTATGTACTGAAGTTAGGATAAACGGTAGATTTTGGGATACGAGTCGGGTTTTGATTATTTATTGGCGAAGCTTGTTCCATTTTACTTTTAGCCTTATGAAGTTCCCAAATAAACACCTGTCTTTCTACTTTAAAACATTAGGATTCCTATAGACGACCTTGCTTTTTTTTAACTTCTAGTTCCTAGGGCGAGCAAATGTGCTCATTTTAGGGCTATTGATTAACATGGCTTCAATGGTGTGCTTTATCTCTTGTTAGGCTCTATCCCAACTGGAGTTCTGAACCGTCTTATGAATCTCGAAGTTCGCCGCGGAGCTGGAGTGCTGATGAACAAACGACGTCTTGGTCCTGAGCTCGCCAGACGTTTGTGTATTTTATTCACCTCCAGAGATCCTTTTGAAATTGTTGATTAGTGAGGTTCTTTGCCCCTTCATTTTATATGATGTATTCGCTGATATTTATCCTGTTTGAATATTCCATTATTTCCTCTATTTGCAAATAAAGTTAATTGCTTTTGTATTCTTTTGATTTACTGCTTAAGGGAAACACGTTTATTTGGATTAAATTGTTTCTTATTTTTGCAATATTTAACCCACGAATTTTGGTGAAATGATTTACAAAATGTAAACCAACTAAAGTGATATGTATATTCCATACAACTATATCGCTTCAAACCTTCGGTTTTATTTAACCTTAAAAGACTAGCTTAATTAGGTCAGCAAATGAGCTCTACCCTAGACATGTTTGGCAGCCCAGCCTCATAATTGTGCATGATGATCTATGTAGATATGTGAATAATATCTGGGCTTCGGGCAATCCCCTGAAATTAAATTGTTGACGAATTTCTGTATGTAAGTTCCTAGTAAGTGGATTCATAGTTCGATATCATCAGGAGGCGGTCGTTTTCTTCCATTTCGAACCTTAGGCTGACAGTCTAGTAGATATCTCCCTAATTTCGAGTGAAAGCAGGTTGGCCCTTGGTCATGTGATAGATGAGGAGTTGAAACTCATTGTTGCGCAAGCCTCCATTTATTGTAGAGGTAGTCAAAACTACGGTCTGTGCTAACTTAGTGGTGTGTCCCATCGACTGTATCAGCCTGAATTCCGTGGTAAAATCCAACTACTGTACAGCGATGTGAATTACCAAGACAATCTACATATCTGAATTTCCGATTGGCTCGTATGCCAAACAAAGGCTTGTAAAATGTCGGACCGATTGATATTGATACCTCATTGATGTGGAATAACTCTTAGGGCGGATACTATCCGGCCACAAATGTGCAGGCGGATACCTTTTCTCGCATTCCAACATTGCCGTCCTACCCTTTTCCTAGAAGACAGGCAAACTAAAACTATGTATGGAAATAGGACTCAAAGAAATTCTGCTGTTGCAAAATTACATGCCACTCTCGTCGCCCTTATGCTTATGACGCCTACTGGCCAAACATTAGCTAGACGGATGCTTGTTGAAGCAGCTAGGTCCGACGGTAAAATCTGGCCCAACACGTGACAGAGATTGGACATGAGATGAAGTGTCGTCAAACATATCGCTTTGGTCATTGGTACGTTAGAAGAGGCTGGAAGAGGGGCTGCCAAAATGGACAGATCAGGTAGTCCGCTGACCCATCGACCAAAAAGACGACTCAATTTATCGACTTCATGAACATGGAACTTCGAATACGCAATACTATCAATTATTCTTAACTAAGAATTATATAATAAAACTTAGGCAAGGCTCAAACGGTAGCCCAGTTCGATTGAGAGCTCTCCATTTGGATGAACGTTTTGAATTGTACGATTTACCTTTTTGTGTTGGCGAGGGTCTAGAGGTGTGACGGGGCCAGGATCACTTCGCAAGTCTCTGATAGATCTTCGTTACATTATGCGATCTAGGGTGGCTGTAGCCCTTATTCATGATCTACTAATACTAGTAAAAAGATAATTTGTAGAAAGTAACGTAGTCGAAGGTATGAAGACCAAGATGGTGTGGCCTTTTGTGTGGTCGCAGTCTCCTTTCGTCGTATAGACGTTGTTTGACCTTGTTTTCGCAACATGGTCATATTGGTA